TGTACCGTGAGGATGTTGCAAATGTTATTCGCCGATTCTGACTCTGCAGGGGAATATTTGCCTTTTGGAAATGACGATCGGTCGTCTAATAATCGCGCTTCTCCCGGTACATCTTTGCAGCGCAATGGTGCTGCCGTGCAAGACGCGAGTGTTCACGAAGCACAAACAAGTGATAATTTCGACCCTTTGCCCATCGGGGATGGGGGTGGCAGGGCAATATCTATTATTTCCTGAATATTACTGATGAACTGATGAAAAAGTAGGCTACTGTTCACATGCTTTTACTACTATATAGTATAGTAATATAGTAATAATTTAGTACTTTCTCCTGTTTTATTGTTGGTTTCCTCTTTTCTGATCATTTGGAATGAGGATAAAAATACAAAATCATGCAAATAAGTTCAAACATCAATTCAATATCTACCATTTCCTGAATATTATGACATTCAAGAGGGCTGCCCCCTGATGACGTCATAATATGCAAATTAGATGAGTATATTTACACCCCACATAAACTTTTGGTCATGCCCAACATTTTTCTAGTTTACAGTAGATCTCTATCTTTAAGCCCTTTCAAGCCACAAGCTTTTGAAATCTTGATGTCAAAATCCAGCATTTTTCCAAAAAAAACCTGGCGCCCAAAGGGTTAAAGTCCCCCTGTAGTCAAAAGTTTTATCCGTTAAAGCTAATCTTTAATCATCAAAATGACATATTAAAATTTTTTCTTGAGCAAAAACGTAAAATTACCGTATTGTCCTGAATATAAGACGATGTTTTTTTTCTTGGAAATACATCTGAAAACCCTAGTAGATAGTCATATATTAAAAAAAAAACCTTGAGCACACATACAGTACATAAGTTTATAGTATGCAATTAATCCTTAGGTAGGGTGGACTGCAGAGTCAAGTGTCATGGAGGTAGGAAGACACAATGAGAGAGACACACCCTGATACAGATGCTGGCAGTTTCTTAATAATGTGGCTCTAATTAACTATTAATGAAGGGCAGGGGGGGGTGTCAAACTGTAACACTGTGTGTTCAAACCAGACACGACGCGATGTGATAAAAAGTATCTTTTTCCATGTAGTTTTTGTCCTAAGTGTCAGCACCACGTGACAATAAGCGACACGGGATTCTATTTTAGAAATGTTTTTTATTTTTTGCGACGTCGCGGCAGGAACAACACAACATATGCCAGCTATAATCTCAGGTAATGATTATGTGCTTTATTCAATGTTAAAAGTGTCTAATGTGAGTGAATATTATTCTGCGTGATCTTTATTGCCATAGTGAGAGCAACAATAGATATTTTACCTCAGATCTTGATAATAAATTAAAGCAAACTTGTACGTTAAAACTGTGAACTCACTGCGAACCAACACGTGTATTCCATAACAAATACGTCAGCCACTCACTCAAAACTGTTCAGTCTATTCACATCATCTACTGTATTATCCATGTCCACTTTTCTTTTCTACACACTCGCCATGTTTTTGCTGTCACATCATATCTACACTGGGCACAACAAAGCATTGCAAATCATTTGAACTTTGTGTCAGTACGTCATAAATAGAACGAGTCAGCAGTTTACTGTCGGGGATTTGTCGCGCCACGCTGCATCCCGTGTAGACAGCATCACTGATTATAATGGGTTCTATTGTATTTGGTTGCGTCGCGCCGCTCGCGTCCGGTGTAGACACGATATAAGTTAATGTAGCTTTCTGAAGCTGCGTTTGAATTTTCATGCCACATTATTTGAAATTAGCGTGGGCCAAACATTTTTCTCTCACGGGCGGGATGTGACCCGCGGGCCGCCTATTGAGGAACCCTGTCCTATACGGTGTTCATTAACTAGGATGTTGCTGGAATCAGTACAGCCAGAGACCCCTGGTCTTCCAACACCAGTGCTGTGAGGAAGAATGCTACGGTAGGCCTAGCAGAGACAGGGAGGAGTGTGGTAGAGGTAGGAAAAACTCAACAGACAGACAGTGACAACAAAGAACAACATACTGTAGAGAATGACAGTAACAGCAGACAAATGGCATAAACAGACAGCACACAGACCCTACAACACCCTCAGATTCTTTTTCTTTTGTTTTTACTGTATGTGTAAA